AAACTGCTGGCAGCACTGATCTCCCCCACCAAGCTCCATGACCATGTGCTGAGAGCAAAAGTGGATCCTCCTTTTTATAATTCATAGGCCATCTGTTTAGCTTTTAAATGAAGCAAAGCAATAAAGGTAGGATTCATGCTAGTCAGTCACCACACTTTTAGAACAACAACAAAATTTTAAAAAGACCCCTACCATAAACAAGTTAAATGGAGCTCATCAAGGAGAGCTCTCATGGACACAGAAGTCATGAAAACAATTGGAAGGAAAGAGCTGCATCGACAGCTCTCTGGGCTTTTTGAGGGACCTCTGTGGGTGAGTTCCCATCACCTCAGAGGCCGGCATGGTGGCCAACACCATAATGTTCCTGTCTATTTACCCAGGTGATAAAAGCAATGCTGTGGTGACCATTAACTGCTTTGTGATCCCCTTCCTGAGTTCTCCCTCAAGCTGTCACCTTCTAGGGGTGTGGTTGTGCCGCTGTACTCGGCACTGGTGAGGCCACACCTCGAGTCCTGTGTGCAGTTCTGGGCTCCACAGTACAGGAAGGACATCGAGGTGCTGGAGAAGGTACGGAGAAGGGCAACCAGAATGATCAGGGGACTGGAGGGTAAGTCTTATGAAGAGAGGCTGAGGGAGCTGGGGGTGTTCAGCCTGGAGGAGGCTGAGGGGAGACCTTATCACTTCCTACAAGTACCTGAAAGGCAGCTGTAGTGAGACGGGTGTTGGCCTCTTCTCCCCAGTGAACAGCGATAGGACAAGAGGGAATGGGTTCAAGTTGCACCAGGGGAAGTTTAGATTGGATATTAGGAAAAACTTCTTCACTGAAAGGGTGATGAAGCATTGGAATGGGTTGCCAAAGGAGGTGGTCGAGTCACCATCTCTGGACGTGTTTAAAAAACGGTTGGATGTGGCACTTCAGGAGTTGGTTTAGTGTTAGGGTGGTGTAGGGCTGTAGGTTGGCCTTCACGATCTTAAAGATCCTTTCCAACCTTTATGATTCTATGATTCTGTGATTCTATTCTAGAGAGCCCCTTTATGGCCCAGACCCCAAAAGGGAGGGAAGATGGCATGTTCCCATGTGCCAGTGAGACCAAGTGCACATTGTTCTGCAAGTTACACTTCAAATTACAAGTTTATTTCTGTGTAGATTCATCTACAAATTCCTGTGTAGAATGACTATGGTCAATTCCATGGCAATCTTCTGGTTAAAACGAAGGGAATGTTTCTTTTTAGGAAGCTCTGTCTCACAGCATCTGAGCAGAGAGAAAAATGCTAGCCATGAAAAAGTCAGCTCAGACCCATCGTGTGTTTAGAGGACTGAGCATTGAAACTCATACCATCCTGGGGAAAAGCTTGCCTAGCACAGCAAGGACTGGCTCACATCTACAAACTTCATCTCCTAGACTTCTGCTTCAACATTGAGAAAAAACAGTGAGGCTGATCAAACTGCTGCTTCCTTTTGCATGTGACTGAAATCTTTACCCTGAACTGAGTAGGTGAAAGGAAGGCTGCGACTTCATTCACTGGAATTCCTGCAGGAGCTGCCCTTTTCTGGGTTGCCAGCAGTAGTGCTGACGTGAGTGGCTGGTGAAGAAGCATTCATGAGGCTTTCAAGTCTCTAGCTGTTGGCTCAGTGAGGGCTTCGTCATCGTAGGCCTGAATAGATTTGTTGTCTCGGTCATGGAGTGTGAACAAAAGTGATAGTGCTCACCAGGCGCTTATTTTTCTCAATTCTACTCAATTCTAATTGTAGCTAATAAAAAGAATACTACATTTTTAGGTTGCGGTTCCAGGAAGCATTTTAAATAGAAGTAGCCTCCAGCACTGTTCAAAATACAATCTAAATAATGCAAGATTGTTAGCTGAAAATACAGCACTATTAAATAACACCAAGTAATGGACAGCTTGTTCAAAGTCGTTATTTTTGATTAGCCTGAACCATTGGTACTGGACATGTGTGGCCTTATTTGCACTCAGTAATATTTGTAGGCATTCAGAAAAGTTAAATAATCATTACTGATTAATTACTATTGATTTTACTGAGTAGTTGTGTCTATATTTTGTGGATTTTCAGTGCTGTATTAGGAAGCATTGAAACTTTACGAATATGTTTTATTTCCTTCCTACGAAGAAGACAATCCTTTTCAAAAGCCAGTAGTTTGGGAGAAAGTAGACTTGTGTTTCCTAAATCATAGAAGTACTTCTGAAAAGCCTGCCCAAAATGATGCTTTTTTTTTTTTTTCAGTCCAGAGAACTTGTGTTTCAGGTAAAATAATACGATTTGTGCAGTTTGTGGTGATGAGACTTTTTTTATAGCCTCTCAACTGAAACACATCATGGCAGTATTCAAAGAAAGCCGTTTCACTCTGAGGTGAGGGACAGAGGAAAAATATCCACCGATTTTATTACATAAATGTATGAGTGACATTTTGAAGAGAAAGGAGTGCTAAGGGGGAGATCTGTGGTTCTGCTGAATACATAACATGAACGATGGTGAAAGTGGGAGATTTCTGAAGGTTGCCTGTGGATTTGCCATGCAAATACCTCTTTCTGCAAATACCTGCTCATGGCACATCTTTAACAAGAAGCCCTTGGCATGGTGTTTTGTCAGCACTTGTTTAGTATGAAGCTTAGAGCTGTGATGAAGTGTCCGTATAGACTTTTCTATTTTCTTCCTAACTACAGGCTCACTTGACAGAATGACATGTTCAAACGTTGTGTGAGAAAAGATTTCTTACGGAGCATGTTGGATTTTATTGTTTTTAAAAAAAATTAAAAGCATTATCATGAGTCTAATTGGAGGGATTAAGCAGCCAGTATCATGGCAGGAACTAGACGATCTTTACGGTTTATTCCAAATTGAACTATTCCATGATTCTATGACTGATGCCAGGGTTTGACTGATGGATTGCTTTTCAGGTGCACAGGGCAGTTTTTGTCTGCTGTGCCACCATCTTGCTTCATCTGAACCAGCTTGTGATCACAGAATCAAAGAATCACAGAATGTCAGGGGTTGGAAGGGAGGTCTAGAGATCATCTAGTCCAGCCCCCCTGCCAGAGCGGGATCACCTACAGTAGATCGCACAGGAACGCATCCAGGTGGGTTTTGAATGTCTCCAGAGAAGGAGACTCCACAACCTTCCTGCGCAGCCTGTGCCAGGGCTCTGTCGCCCTCACAGTGAAAAAGTTTTTCCTAATATTTTTGTGGAGCTTGTATCCATTGCCCCTTCTCTTATCTTTGGACATCACTGAGCAGAGCCTGGCTCCATCCTCCTGACACTCCCCCTTGACATATTTATAAACATTTGTGAGGTCACCCCTCAGCCTCTTCTTCTCCACGCTAAGGAGACCCTGCTCCTTCAGCCTTTCCTCACCAGGGAGATGTTCCACTCCATCATCTTTGTGGCTCTGCGCTGGACTCTTTCAAGCAGAGCGATGGAAGAGGCAGTGGCGAAGCGGCAACATCTCCTGCAAGAGCTATCCACAACTCCCTTCGATGGGAGTAACCGGCAGGCACACAGGTTTTACTCTAGAATTTTTGGTTGTGAGGCAGTCAGTTAAAATGACGCATAATAGGAGGAAGAGCCTCATTATATTTTTGCTTGTACTTTGTAGCTTGCTCTGATCCCTAATGGTGAGCAGAAGCTGACAGCTGGTTTGCAGCAATCCTGTGCAAAGTGCAAATGCTTCACAGTAACACCATGACAGACACCAGTTTGAGAGGGTTTTATTAGGTGTCTGATAGCTCTGTTGAAGATGCAAGTCTGAAGGAGTTTCATTTAATCCTGTTTTCGTGATTGTGGAGCTGGTTGTGTTTATTCTACCCTGACGCTAAGAGAAACTAGGCGTAGCTCGTAGTCCACTCACCCAGATTTAACTCCATCAAGGATCTTTGTGATAGAGCAGGCAAAGGTTTAAAGTGCTAAGGAATTACGTTTTTCAAGACTTTAAGGCCAGCATGTATCCCTGTAACCACCAGTCTGACTTTACATGTATCTGCGCCGGGTGCCAGTGTGTGGAGTCTGACAGCGGGCCTCAGAGGTTCCAGTGGCCCCAGGGCAGGGCTGAGCCCCTCAGCGAGGCTGGTGGCGCCTGGGGAAAGGGCAAAACTGGGCAGTGAGGGGCTCGGGAGAAAGTGGCCCCGAGAGCCAGGCAGGGGGGATCCCAGCAGAGCAGAGGGGCGTGTGAGGGGGAAGGAGTGGCTGAGAGGAGCTGCTGTGAACAGATCACAACCCCTCACCCTCACCCCTGTGCCGCCTGGGAAGGAAGAAGAGGAAAAAAGGTGGTGAGGGGAATGTGGTTTAGCTTTTTTGCCTTTCTCACCATCCAAAATGATTTTAATTTGCAATTAATTAAAGTTGGAGTTTTTTCAAAGTCAAGTCTGTTTTGCCTGTGATGGTAACTGGGAAGTGAACTCCTTCTCTTTATCTTGACCCTGTTGAGGGGGAGCGATAAAGCCGCCGGGTGGGCTGCTGGCCCAGTCCAGGTTGACCCACCAGGTTCCTTCAGGAGGATGAAGCCTTCCTGCATGACGTACTTTAGTATCCAGCACATAACCCTTCCTCTCAAATGTATAGCACACTGCGTGCTGGAGAGAAATCTTCTGGCAGTGGGAGAGAAAGAGGGAGAGGGGAAGCGTGTGTAACACACAGAGAAAATGGGACAGTGCATCCTGAGCAGCTTGTGAGGTGCCAACAAGTTTTTGTGTTTGTAGACTTGTAGGCTCAAAATTGCTGCTGTGCTGGGTCAGATCACTTGTCGACAAAATTCCTCTGGGGTTCTTCATAGTAAATCAGAAATGAGCCTTTACATTGTCTTGTAATTTATCTGTGTTGGAAGTACACCGCGTGACAGTCGCTATTGGAATGTGTGGCTGAAACATTTGTGAAGATGAGAGCTTAACAAAGGAACTTATGGTGCTAAAAAAGAAAGTTACTGTACTGAGACAAAGATGGTAAAAAGGAGGTAGGATAAATGAAAATATCTGTCTGTCTCTGCAGAAACTCAACGTATTGCATGAAGGTGTCCATGTCCTTGACAGTAGCTGAAAACGAATCTGGGCTTTGCTACAACAGCAAGATCAGATATCTGGAAAAATCAGAAGTCACTAAGAGGAAGACAATCTTCTGTCCTGATATTGAGGATTACAAAACAGCCAGTCAAGAGCCAGATGTGGTGTGGTACAAGGTAACTATCGCTGTCTTCCTGCTATTCTGCTGAAACTATACAAAACTTCCTCTGTGTTCAGTCTGAGACTTAGAAATGGCCTTTTCTGAGCCTGCAGTCGTTTGTGACTTGTCAGGAGGACACTCTCCCGGTATTACAGAAGCAATCCTAAAGTGCAGGCAAAAGTGCCCAGCGTAGTCATTGCCCAGCCAAAATCAGCAACAGCGAGGATGTTCTGTGCAAGAGGTCGCATGACATTTCAAGAGCAGTGCCATGTTCCCAAACCACTCTGCCTCTGTACCGGTTTCTGCCTTGGTGAGATGCCTCCCTGCCTGAGACTGCCATGCATACAAAGGGAGGCAACCTTCACTGGAGCCAGAGGTGTGGCAGCACTGCCAGCAGTGCTACCCAATTAATTTTTATGAAGTCTATTGGGTAATTTCATCCAGGTTTGTTACCTTTTTTACTAAAGTCTGCTGGGTAGTTTCAGAGATGCATTTACTTTTACTGAGGTTCACTGAGTAACTTTACTGAGGTCTGTTAGTTTTAACTGAGGTCTGTTAGATACTTCTGCTTCTTGGCAGGTAACTTGGCTGGCTGTACCTTCTCCAAGCCCTGTCAAGTATCACACACCACTTTCAGCAGCAGATGTGTTTCTGTAGCTCTCAAGAAAACAGGAAAATAGCTGAAATATGGGCTGATAGGCAGACATCAAACACTAAGACCACAGCAAGATCTGGTGAATTTTATCTGTTGTCTGGACTTGGACTGAAGTTTCATATTTGAAAAACCCTCTGGTCTGAGTGCTGCAAGAAACAATAAAAGAGAATAAAGAACTGAGAGTAAGAGAGAACAAGAGATAGTTGGGCAAGAGGAACAGCTCAGTGGAGTCTGTGGAAAATAGAGGAAGACCTCAGTGGGGTCTGTGGAAAATAGAGTTTGAATTGTAGGGATAAAAGCAGAATGCATTTAAGACAAACTTGTTTCAGGAAATGAAGACAGAAACATGCAGACTAGTTAAATCCTAAATTTTGAGGGTTTGATTAGCCAGCCGTAATAATGTTCTTGAAAGACAGCTATTTTTCTGTGAAATAAATAATATATGCAGAGCTACAGATTTTTTTCCTCCTTAGCAGGTTGCATCAGAAAAGAGCAATTATAAAAGTTGTCATCTATTTCTATTTTTTTCAGAAATCTCACATGTTCTATCTTACAGTAATGTCTCCCATAACCCACTGTTAGTATAAACAAAGTTTTTCTTTCAGCCATTGACGCTGTTGCTCTCAGCATATGGGTGGATATCTTCAGTGCTGTTCATACATAAAATACATGTATTCAGTTAAGTCTGAAATATTGGAGGAAAGAAGGTACAAGAGAAAAGCTGTTCTGTGCCCTATCTACCTAGGTATTGTTGAACACCAGATCGCTGAAGATACCGTTTGGGTTTTTTTTGCCAGAGCACAGTGCAAAAATAGTCTGGCAGGAGTAATCTTCAGCTGTCACGGAGGAGAAATCTGTCTAAGGAGGATGCATGTACAAGCCCACATCAGTGATGCTTTGTGTTGACCAAGAAAGGGAACCGAAGAGTCTTTGTTGTGTGTACCCCCAGGTGTTATCTGGGTCACAACCCCAGGTTATGTGACACCAGGCTGGAGTGTCACAGGTCATCACTCTGGTGAAATGAAAAAGAATTGATGTGGTCGTACGATAACGGTGAGACTATCGAAGTTGACAACCTTTAGTCTGGCTTGATAAGGAAAAGAGACATTAGTGGAGTAACCTACTACATGTACCTCCTTATCCAAAATTAACAATAAGGTGCTATCAGTTCAGTTCTTAGACAGCACCTCTGTTGTCTGGACCTGAGGCAGGAAGCTCAGTCATGTGAAATGTCAGTATTAATGTTATGCAGAAGGTACGTGTGTCAGGTTATCCCTTGAAACTTAATCCTGAAACAGGGGGTTTGGAAAAATACTCTAGAGGATGTTATGGTACTAACTGTTGATAGAAGTCTGCCTATTCAGAGAAGCGTAAATCCAGTTTCTAGAAAATACATAATAACTTGGATTTCAAAATACTATGGGATGAGCAGAGTACTCAGGTAACCTCTGCAAACCGCAGTTTGGGACTTGAGCTGATGCTGTGTGAGGCAGCATGTGTAACAGAAAGCAGGTCCCTTCTCCCAAAGAAAGCTGTGAAGGGATATTCCACTCCAGGATCTGACTCTCACTTTCTGAAGAAGGCATCTGTTTCCACTCACAGCACACTGGATCCTCAAGTTTCTCCCCTCTACCTCTGTGACTGAGTTTGACATGTACCTGAAGGTGTCATCAGCCACCTTCTTGTGCAAATCTGCTCCAGAGGCAATTTCCTGCAATTCCACCGCAGGGCAATTCCTTTTTATTATGCTGAAATATTTAAAGGAGATTTTCATCCAGGGGGAGAGTGTAAGTCATCCACAATATAACAGCAGATAAATAAATATGAGGAAGTCCTCAGGGCTCCTTTATACCTTTGGCTGAAAAGAGAAATCTTTGTGTTCATGAGAACCTGCCAGTTCGCTGGTAGTCAGGGAGTTTGGGCTCGTGGCCGATGAAATGCCATCAGACAGGACAGTAACGGCGTGAGCCCACTGTGTGCAGGACTTGCCCTGCCTTCCAGAAGGCTTAATGTGGAGAGATTAATGAATCTGAGCCACTAATTGCATCAATTTACAGGGAGTTAACTGTAATTTAAACACACTCTTAAAATAATTATGCCTGAATAGATTTCCACATGCACACGGGATAAGTAATAAAACATTTGCTGTGAGGATTTGTTTTAACAGTAGTATGAACTTCACTTCTGGCTAGAATTACACTGCATGAAATATTTTTCTTTACAGATTTCCACAATTAACACCGCTGATATCCACACTGCTCTGTTATGCCTGTTAGAACTGTTTTGACAAGAAGTATAAGGATTTTTCTTTAAATAAATGTATGTGTCAAGGCATCATTGACTGAATAGGATTTAACAGGCGGAGGAAAAAGGTGTATTACAGCTAGAATGTGGAGTCTTAATCCATTTCCACCATCTATTTTCTACTACTAGGTTAAAGGGAGGGCTGTGAAAGCAATCAGAATGTCAGGTCAAGGACAGGTAGTTGTTATCTGTGCTACACGAAATACAAAATTTCAAGGAAGAGAAAAAGAAATAATAATACCATACAACTTAATTATTGGGGGGAAAAAACCACAAATATTTAAGATGTCTAAGGAGAATAAATAGGCTAGAAAAAGTAACTTTCAGATTCTTCTAGCAGGTGAACATGTTGCAAAAGCAGGAAAGCAATTATTTGGTTAAAAAGCAACAATTTTACAGTTGAGTGCTTACATTTTTAGAGAAATTAGCACACCTCTGACAGTAAAGACTAGATTGCTTTCACAATATGAAGACTAGTTAGTTTTTTCTTACTGTTTTTTTCTCTCAGCCATTTTTTTTTTGGCTCAAAATACAAATTACTACAATTTTCTAGCTTCTCTCTTTTGCTGCTTTTAGGTTTGTGTATTGAACTAGTCTATAAAAAAATAGGCAGAATAAAACAGGCTTTTTCAACACGTTTAGAAAGCCTGCATAGTCAGTAGGAGAAAAATTACTTAGCTAAAATTTGGAAAAGAAAGGCTTATGAATAATTGTTAATATGAAGTCTTTTAAGTAGATACAAAAAGAAACAATTAGGAAATTAATGTTACAATTCCAACAGAACAGTTCCTCTCTGTAAACCTACAATAGCACAAACATGGTCTGTGTTAAATCATTAATCTCTGTAGTAGCAAAGATGTCACTCTTCTTATTGCAAACATGTAGTATATAAAAATATAAAACATGTGAAAATGTATCTTCTATCTCTTTGTTCCCACGGTTTTTAAAATAAAATAGAAAAATGTACAACAGGTAACGTATGAGCAGGTCTCTCAGTGCGGCACTGAAAGGGTGCATGCCTGAGATATGCTTACTCTGTGTAGTGTTGAAATTGTATTTCTGCTAATGTGGGATTGAATGGAACTGAATTTTATTCTTCCCTCAGTGTTCAGATTTAGTTACTCTAAGTAGGTGGTTGATGTACCTTTAAATAGGACTGAAAAACTGACTGCAAATCAGAAAGGATTTAATGGCATTTTCTGGCTCAGATCTGTGTCCTGCTCGAGTCTCAAGCGATGACAGTGGAACTTAGTAACAAAAATAAGCTCTGAGTCTTAGCACAGCAGATAGGATCTGGATTCTGTCACCAGCGTTAGCTAAAGTTCATGTGCAAGACAAGATTATGCTTTCCTTACAACTGCATTTTGGAAACAGAAAGATAACCTGAACACTGTTACCTGCAGTAATACCACACACATTCAGAATCTGAAATCTTGCCACGCTGGCACTGACTTTGCCTTGCTAGGGGTAGGGATAAATGCTTCAGGGCTCCATTTTCAAGTGCAAGGCCAGAAGCTCACAGTCCCATCTTTTTATTTCTTTGTTATTACCCTTTAATTTGGAATCAGAGAATCATTAAGTTGGGAAAAAAGATCATCAAGTCCAAATGTCAACCCAATGCTACCCTGATCACACGGCAAGGTGCCGCATCTCCGTGTTTTTTGAACACCTCCAGGGATGGCGACTCCACCGCTTCTTTGGGCAGCCTGTCGTTACGAATTTGGAATGTGTTTGGCGTCCCATGACAAAAATTATGTTTGTATTGTTCTGATCTCTTGCTGTCATACAATGCATTTGCATGTCAATATATTTTCTTGTCTGCTTGTTTTCTTAAGAGAAAGCTTTGTTCTGTTGCTTGCTCTATTTCTGACACTGCTGTTGCAGATGAGTAGAAAATGGACCAAAGGTCTGGGCTATTTACACAAATCTCTGAAGTTGCTGAGCCTGATGTAACTGTTGTGAGATTGTTCGTTGCAATCTGAGAGCTTGTTCCACTTTACCACCTCGAGAGAGGCAACAGAGGGGCATTAAAGGTACTCGGGCCATATGTTGCTGTGTGTGCTCTGGGTGCGGAATTAGCCCGAGCCCCCAAAGCTGTCGGGAGTACGGTGTGCTTTAGAGAACTGAGAAAAACGTGATTTTGTTTGCAGGCAGAACAGGCTTGATGTTAAAGTGTTTGAGAGACAAGGAATATATAATCTTAAGCTACCAATTTAAAGAGATGGTGATGAGTTTGTGCCTGTGCTTGCAGTTCAGAGCATTCCAAGAGGTGTTCAATTACGAGTGCCATTAGCATGGAAGGTGACTGATCTGGCTGCAGGGATACAGTGCACTGTATCACACACTGTACGGAAGGACTAAACTGCTTTTACAGCAGTTCATAGCAATGAACCTAAATCTGCCAAATAACAGCTGCGGTCTGCCTGGCAAAGTCAGGGAGAGTTGCAGGCTGTCGTTACCATGTGCTCCATTAGAGGATGCACCTGGGGGTGCTGCTGCACAGAGCCCAGTGATGGGAAAAGGCTGAATCAAAGCTCAGCAGGTGCCAGAGAAGCCAATGATAGGAAACAAGACTATAAGGAATCCAGGCTTCCTAAATTCTCTTGCTCACAGAACTGCTGCTGTTCTTCCTGTTTCCTTCTGTTGGTAAATGGTTCTAGCCTGAGAGTGTGTGTGAAGTTAGTCTCCAGGCTAACTCTTAACGGATGTTGCCCTTGCTCCCTTCAAAAAGAGATGCATTTTAATGGTCTGTCCTAAAGTAATGGTCTTGGCAATTGTTTGTCATGAAAAGAAGATGCTTAACCATTGCTTCAGGGCACTACGTATTAAACATGGCCCATATGATACAGTGGGAATTACTGAACCTTAAAAACATTTCTGTTTAATTTCTGTCTTCAAGTTAATTCCAGTTTTAGATCTCTCTGCTTTCTGAAATTATATTTTAATTTGAATTGCAAAATATATTGAAATGGTTCTTTACTAATGTATACTACTAAAAATCTGATCTGGCAACATTGTCTTATGTCATACAAGTCAGGTAATTCTGACAATGTATTTTTTTTTTCTGCAGGAATGTAAGCCCAAAATGTGGAGGAGCATTGTAATTCAAAAGGGAAATACTCTTTTAATACAAGAGGTCCAGGAAGAAGATGGAGGAAATTATACCTGTGAACTAAAGTTTGAAGGCAAGCTTATACGAAGAACAGTTGAATTGAAGGTTACTGGTAAGAATCTTTGTTCTATGCCAATAGAAAAAATGAAGCTTTGAAGTAATAAAAAAGAAATGTTTTCACATGTCAGTGAATCTGTTTGATAGAAGTAAGTCCAAGCCAAATCCCAGTAGCTGAGCAGTCCCGAACTGGGGGAAATTTATATTAAAATCTTATAAAATTCCACAGAAGACTACTGCAGTCTTTTGCTCTGTGCAGAACCTAGAAATGCTGGTTATAAAACAAAAGGCAGAGCAGACCTAAGTCCTTCCTGTAGGCTGGAAGTGATTCAGACTCCTCTAAACAGAGGAAGGGTTGACTGAAGCTGTAAAACGGGCTTTGGGTGAGGTCTGGCCTAGAATAAAACACAGCCAAAAGAGACATCTTGAGTCTTTTTTTTTTTTTCAATGATTTTAAACTTTGGTTTAATTTATGATGATCAGCTACTCTAGCCTAGAGTTTGTCTTTAGTGAAGAGTGTGGCACAGCCTATTCCAAGAATGAAGATAGAAATGTTGGACTGTCAGGGGGAGAGTAACCTGCTTGGGAGGAGGTCATACGTTATATGTTTCTGAGCCCCTGTAGTAGTCAGCAGTATTTTCTATCTCTTTTTGTCAGGTGGCAGAAGTGAATGAGTAAGGTAGTATTGCCTACCAATATATTCCTGATCCCTTTCCATTCCACTGTGCGTTATGACATCTGTCGTTATTATTTTGCCTTCCACGTCTATGGAATTTGGCAGGTATCTGAAAACAGTTGAATTTTGTCAGCCTTTCGCAGAAAGCCGTACAGAAAAATGGTTAGGTATTTCTCTCTGTTTAAACATACTGATGAAAATGAGGTCCTACGTAAAGTGGTGAGAAGTAAAATTCCGCTTTCTTATATTGAACTGAATTAGTCCATAATATATTTCTAATATGCTCTTTAAATACAATTCTTCCCTTTATTTTGGGTGAAATCCATTTTTCTGTTCTTGTTGTTATTCCTCATTTTGATTGAGTTCTTTTCCCTATGTGCCAGATTCATATGTCGTGTGATTCTTTATTGTTCATTTTTGACCATGAACAGGTCTCTGAAGTATTGATTTGACCTCTCTGACCCCAGACCTGTCAAATAAAGATATAATACCTGCCTTGTGGGTAGTTGTTGTCCTAGGTAGCATGCTGGTCTTCAGTCAGAATATGAACTAAGTTTGACAAAGTGAAAATTAGACGCATCTAATTCAATTCTCCATGATGCATATTCTTTAGATAGCAGATACTCTGTGATTTCCCTCTCATCATGACCTTGCTAGAACTCGTATGCTCTCTTCATTATTTGAACAGTGTGGTGTATTCATACTTCACAATTTAGTGAATTTGTCCTAAACTAAGTATAATATGTATTAAACCTATTTGTTTCATTGAAATGTTTATGACCAGAATTATTTTTCAAAATGTTTGAGGACCAGGAGATTGCTCCCCTTGTAATTTGGTGTGAAATCAATATTAAATGAAATTTACCTTAGTTAATAAAAGCACCTATGTTAGTAAACACCTTTTCCAAATGTAAGTGTTTGGGAGACGTATCTGATGTTTTGTGTTTACTGGTTGAATCCCTATGGATATCTGGAGTAGGCTAGTAAATTTATGCAGCTGGGGATCTGAAAATGTGGAGTAGAACTATGAATGTATTGCATTGAACCATGTAGTCATATGATCATATAGCTTGGTACTTCACTAAGTTTCTGTCTCCTGTTTCTGTTTTGTTTCAGTTTGTGGATTTTATATGCATGCGTGTTTTTAGATCTTTATGGGGGAGAAGTCAAAGAAAATTCATAGAACAAACAGCAGAAGATTGTGCGTGTTGGGTGGCTGGTCGTGTCAGATGGAGGGTCCTGAGGCAGATCAGAGCAGAGGCTGGGAGCAGATACATGACATACTCGGGAACTTTGTGGAACAGTATATCTCATGGGAGCCAGAATGAAAGCTACATACTGGTGTAGGTTTTGGCACCTCCCTCCGAGAGTTTGCTTTCATCGGTCCTAGCTCAAGCAGAATCAGCTACAGCAGGTTGCTGAGGGCTGTGCCCAGTTGGGTTTTGATTGTTGCCAAGAATACAGACTCCACATCATCTCTGGGTAAAAAAGTGGTTTTTAATGTTTAAACAGATTTTTTTGTATTACAGTTTGTGTGCCTGTTGCCTTTTATTCTTTAACTGAGCACCACTGAGAACAGTCTGCTCTTTACACCTTCCCACCAAGCGTTCATACACATGGATGAGATCCCCATGAGCCTTCTTTTCTCCACACCAACCCACCCCACCTCTTGCAGCCTCTCCTCATATGGCAGACACTCCAGTCCCTTAAAAATCTTTGTGGCCCTTCACAGACTTACTTGGTGGCACACTGGGACACATTATTTGTCTGTCTGAAAATTGAGTTCTCAAAAAAATACTGTGCCAGGAAGAGCTAGGGTGAGACCAGAGCTCAGACTGCAAAACCTGCTGGTCTTTATAAATCTCTGTTAGCAAACACTGCTGAAGGCTTACCAGCAACGCTGTGGTAGAATTGTCTCCATTAGCCTGCAATGCAGGTGTGGAGAAAAGGGTCTTGCCTAACTGTTTTCTTTTGTGTGAACTTTGTAATGCTGTTTCTATTGCTGTTATATATTAACATGCCTGAATGGGCATTTTTTGGCAAGTGCTTGAGTTCCTCTAACAATACAGATTTTGAACAGCAAGACTCTGTCAGCCACTGCTAGCAGCTGTGGTAACCTGAAGTTGTTATTAGAGTAGAGAGTTACTCTAAAAGTGAAAAAGGCCACTCTGTGTCTCCCTTGAGCAAGGACAGCCATGGGACTGCCACAGAGAGAGAGGAGGTTGACTTAGATCCCCAGTAGTCTTCCAGGTGTTTAGTAAAATCCACAGTACTTGAAATACTAGTTAAGTCAATTCAGTTATTTGCTTTATCTCTAGATTGTAAGACAAAAGTCATTCCTTTTTTAAAGTTGCCTCAAATCTGGTACTAAGGTTTTTCATTCTTTTTGGAGTTTCTGGTAGTTATGGAAGGAGCAGTACAAAATAACTGATATTCATAGGTAAATGCAGTATGGGAATGTAAGGAGTGAAACTTGAAATCAGAGTGCGTGCAGTGCTGGCATAAGAGAAGTTGAGATAAAGGAAAACTTCAGGAAAATGTGAAGGTGCAGGAGCCAGAGGCACCATTTTAACTTGCTGTTGGAAAAGGTAATCAGAAGAGTTAATGATATACAAGACTAATGCAGCGAGGCAGCCTGATCAAAGTTAGCTGCAGACAAGAGAGCAGTGGTGGCCGAACTGAAGAATGATATTTGGTATTCATAGTAGTCTTGCTTAAGCATTTATTTCAAGTGGAGGCTGCTAGGTGCGACTTTTAATTAGGTGCAAAGCCCTGCTCTTATTAGTTGGTAATTCAGTTATTAAGAGAACCTCCAGTGAAGTTATTAGAGCGGTTAGAAGGTGCTGCCTTAAGCCCCTGTGCCAGTGTCTCCTCTGAGGCTGTGCAGGGGACCTGCAAGGACAGCTTGTGCTGATCCTCAGGCACTGCTCTCTTCAGATCCAGTCTTGCCTTCTCACTTTTGCAGACCCAAACAGAAGATCTCAGCGGCTCAGTTAGAGGTAGAAGGGGAGTTCCTATGCCCTTTCTTCTTCCTGTGACTAACTCGTGTTATTAGCTACTATGAGATAGTTTGTAAGAAAAAATCTCTGGAGTCATAGACGGGAATTGAAAGCCACCAACATAATGCCTGGCCACCGCAAGAAAGGCAGAGGGATCCGAGCTGTATTAGTAGATGAGCAGAGCATAAAACGAAAAGGTTAAATGGCATTTTTAGGGAGGGGTAGTGGACTACACACAGAGTACTGTACGTGGCCGGCAGTGTTACCGTATGGCTTCGATGGTTGATACGGGTTAGCGTGATGAGAAAAGGCTTCAGAGGCTGTAGCTCTCCGGGGTTTGCAGCCTAGTTGAAAAATATTTTGACACAAAGTATTTATAGGGACAAAATCCTGAGCTACAATACAGCACTAATGAGCAGTGCCTAAATCTTGGTGTTTGGGTGCGTTTAACAAGAACGATTGTCAACAACACAGCTCTTTCATCACTAGTTCTTCATGGGTTTGTTATATTATGCAGACAGATGTGAAACAAGTCTTGTCAGCCTTTTTTGCTGAAGAAACATGACAACAGCATTATCTTGTAGCAAGTGACATGTAACACTTCAATCTATGTAAAAAAAATAATTATATACCTTTTCACTTTGCCTCTTGGTAGCTTTCTTGTGGACAAACAGGTGAGATTAGCAGCTGTGATGCAGGGTTCTAAAACCTGAAAATATAGCACAAACTTAGTTTTTAATTAGGTTAATTTAGTAAATTAGAGTGCACCTATAGAAAAAATGAACATACAAATACAGATTATCAACAGAATTTATGAATTTTTAATAAAATTACAGATATGCAAGAATATAGAATCATATAATCATAGTACTTTCAGGGTTAGAAGGGACCTTAAAGATCATCTAGTTCCAACCCCTCCGCCATGGGCAGGGACATCCCCCACTAGATCAGGCTGCTCAGAGCCCCATCAGAAATCATAAGCATTTTAATTAATATTGTTAAATGCCAGTGTTTACTGAAGAGCAATGATACTATTCAGACAAAAAGAAAAAAAAAAAGTCACGTTGTTTTTGAAAGGCAATTTAGGCACCGTCCTGCTTTCCCCGACTCTACTAACCAGTTCACTCTGTCTGATTCGTAGCAATATTTCAATAGCTTTTGGATGAAGAGGTGCAATTACGAAAAATACCTGCTATGTTTACCTGCTGCTTCAGCACTCTTTTTCTGAATTTGGAATGCTGGATTTGGTAAGGAGACAGGCTGAGAAGAAGGTGTCAGCAGATGTATGTTGGAGGCTGGAGAAGGGGTGATCCCACTGAGGAAGGAGCAAGACCTGCCCTTATGGGTGCCCCAGGTGGCCCCTGGCAGATGGGACTATCT